ATTTGTAATGTTTGTAACCGCTGTTTGTTCTCTTTTCCTCTTGCTACAAGGTATTCAGTTTAAGATGTGTAAATCACACTTTTCATGCATTTTAAACTCTTTTCCTGAGTTGAAGTCGGAACGTGACGTCACAGATATGGGGCGCTTTCTATTGAACCAAAAACTCCGTTTGAATTTCCTGAAATTTCCAGTTATTAGTATATCTCAATTGATTTATGTGTTATTGTATCAATTCAACTCAATATAGTTTTTCACGAAATTTCTGTTATAGGTAGAAATTGAACAAGCCCCGAGCATTATCTCGTGTTTCTCATTTTTTTAAAATTGGGATCCAGTTTCTCAAGCACGGGCTGGAATTTTTAACCCGGGCTGAATTTCAGCCCGGACTGAAACTCTCTCTATAATCTCGATATGTAATCACCAATTTCATTTCAAGAGGATGTTTTTCTCGGAAGCCGGGCGAGGAATGTTAACCCCTCTAACCCGGCTTAGCTGAATTTTGCTGTGTAATCACTCCCTATGGCGGATAAAAACCGACCCTATCCGGAAATTTCTGAGAATCGAGCTCGCGCGATGTTTGTAAATTTGTTACCTACCGAAAAAGTAACAAGGAGCAACTGCCATCTGCAGTGCTCCCACTAATATACAAACTAACCTATCCACTACCTATCATTTTCTTTTCAAAACGTTTTTGCAGAAAAAAACTGCTCTGCTTGAACTACGAATTACGGATTTCCTTTCGCCAATTTTTCGCGGGCCGATAAAGATGCGTGTAAATTGGGTTTCACACATCCTTCACGGAACGGCAGCATTATTTCATTCTTTTATTTTTCTACGCATTATATATCCAGTTCAACGGCGTCATACCGAAGTTTTGTCATGACTGGACCACAGATGTCCTTTATCCGTTCAGCATCTTCACTTTTCAGCTCTCGCTCCCAAGCCTCCACGGTCTTGGCCCCGACAATTTCTCGAGAGGAGCCAAGCGAGAACTGTTCCGTGTGTGCAACTGTTAGAATACGATGCTCAGAAGCTGGTGAAAGAGGAACGCCTAGAAAGCGGAACACACTCTCAGCGGTTTTTCGAGGCTTCAGGATCAGGTCTTCCAAATGAATAAAGCGTATACTCTCTTTAAGAAGATTTGAGTTCACACGAAGGACAGCATTCATGTGCGCGGCCCACAGATAGGCGAGTAGCGCTACATTGTCCATACCGTTTTCGTTCTCGTGCTGAAGGAGCACCCCTTGCATTTCGTGGAATTCAGGTGCAAAATAAGACATGTTTTTCTCGTGGCAGCCTTGGATCTTGATCATATCAAGAGCTTCACGTACAGCATCACGAAGTGTACCATTCACACTTATTTCTCGAAGCCAGGCGTTCACCCACCCCCTGGGGTCTCTAACCACCACAATGGCACGAAATCTCGTCTCCAGGACTTTCCTCAGCCATGGAAACTTCATTGCCCAGCCAGGGTCTGTAAAACGGACCGACGGTAAAGCCTTGTGATACCTTTTAGGTAAATCTGGAAAAACAGCTTTCGGGTTTTTAGAAAGAGCTCTGAGCCAACTTCTCAACCGCATCGTGTCGGGAGAAGGATGAAAATGAGAAAAAATGGAACAAGGATCCAAAAATTTATGCGCAATTCTTGTAGGTTCTACGTCAATGAAGTCCGTAGAATTCTTGAATAAGTGTTGTAGAATTTCAGCGCCGGCCAAGGGAAGAGAAGTGTACAATACAAAAGGCGGATCTTCCACTGGTTCAAAGCTAGTATAATTGTCGCTTGTAGTGTCTTGTTTTGTAGTGGTCATCCACTCACACCTCTCACCTGTACAGAAGCTAAAATTGATCACTAATGTTGTGAAAAGCCATGATATTCCAAGACACCAGAAAAACACTTGAAGGGCGGTTCGACCAAGTAGCTGGCGCCGAAGTTTTAAATAGAAAAATACCAAAATCCCTGCGATGCTGAAGGGTAGAAACAAGGAAGCTAGGGAACTCCAATTAATTGGCACATTGGTCTGAGTCCATGACGAATCGGCCACAACTTCCTCCTCAGAGGCGGAAATTACATCCAAACCAAAACGCACAGTTTTCCTGGCGTTTATCTGAACCTCGCAAAATCCACCAAAACCCAAGAAACTGTATCGGTCGTAAGGCTGGTTATGCTTTGTTGCTATGGAAACGACGTAATCAACACCACTGATTCTTAACGACACCTTTAATCCATGATCATGCAAAGTAAGGACTTTTGGAACAAGGTCTATTCAATTTACAGGGCCCAGGAACAGGTACGCGGTCCGAGTGTACCGCGCGTTTAGGGGCGTTGTTATATTGAGGTAGTTTGTTCTCAGTGATTTATAAGATGTTGAATAATGGCTCGCATGGGCCAGACTTTCCTCGCCGCTCTCCAGATTGAACCAGTATGCCTTGTGTAACAGTCCGTCTATCGAAACGCTAGCATGGGTTGCTGCCGTGGAGTTCATGTCGAGACTGAAGGAGTAGTCTACATTGTGAAAGAAGGCGCTCATTATCGATGCTTGGCCCGCTGATTTGCGTTCGATGTGATCAACGACAAGAAGGACGCTTGGAGTCAACATAATCAAGCTACGATAGACGCTCAGCAAGCCCAACTCTTCTCTATACCACTGGCTCATTTCGCCGCTGGTAAAAACCATGTTTCCTTCACTTGACGCAGATATTACGTCCCCTTCTGCCTTCCAAGCGGCCATTGTCTTGTAATTAAACCATCCACTGCATTCTCCTATCTGTCCCTCGAAGGGGCTGGAACACTCCGAGTTGGGTGAGGGGCCAAACACTATGGCATTATTGAGCCACGTGTATTTGGGGGCGTAAAATGTCTCAGTTATGAACGGCACTCCATTTGGCGCAAAAACGAAGGATCCTTGATCGGGATGCTCGTGGCCAGGGTTAAAATTCTTCCAGCCTGTTATCCATGAACGAAAGTTTTTGCGCCTAACAACAGAGTTTATTGCTCTTCCGTGAAGCACGCCGCATTTAAAGGAAAGAAATGTATCCCTCTCATCCCAAGAGTTGTTGCTATGGGAGGTATCCACGCCTCCCCCATAGGTAACCACTCCCCAGTCACTAAACACATGCAGTCGAGGCAGGCTCGGGTTGGGTTGAGCTCTCTCTTTGATACTCGCATTGTAGAAAAGAAACTCTGTGTGAAGCATGCAATTTCTGTGGGACTGTGCCTGAGCGAGGGACCCTTTTATGACTTTATGTTCTCTGATCCTTCTTGCCAACCAATTGCCCAAACCATTCCTTAGCACATAGCTGTCCAGGAAAACTAGCTGACTTTCTGGTCCGTAGTACCAATTTCTGTTGGAGTCACCAATACCCACAGTCTCTCTGAACCCCGAAAACACCGTATAGTGCAAAAACCAAAAGTGTTCTTTCAACCAAGGGCTATGGGTTAAGTCAATGCGAAAGTGACGTAAGGCAAAGAAAACATACTGGGTCAACGCGCGTGTCGTGTACGTACCGTACGCTACCCCTTCATCAATTGAACCGTCCACAACATAACTAAACAGCTCCAGGGTTCTACCCAGCATTAGATGAGCGCGTGACATCCATTTCTCCGCCTCGAGCTCCTTATGCCGAAAAGCAATCAAAGCGCCGGTAAAAATTGCCATGTAGTTTGTAGCCACGTGATTTTGTAGGTAAGCAGATCCCCACCAAAGCGTTTTGTCGTAAGACCTTTCATACAGCTCTTTGGTCACGCTAGTGATTTTCTTTAAGAAGCGTATTCTTTGAGTATTGTTCAACTGTTCGTACAAAAAGTCGTAAGCGGTCGCCATGCCGGTTAAAGAGTGTGCTACTGGAACATCGTCGCGTAAAGTAGCGGCCACTCGCCAATTTGGAAGATTATCAAGCCGCTCCATGAATGAGATCGCTAACTCTTTTGCCTTGATATCTTCAGGGTATAAAACACAATAGAATGCTACTGCGGTGAGATCGTTCCCGTAACGTTCATTCCATGCGCTGGAGAACGTTTGCCAATCTCTTGGCGGTAGAAAGCTTTCAGGATTCTGCATCATCTCTTGGGTCGCTAAGGATATCCTTTGCGCTATTTCAGCGTGTGTTGATCGCGCTCGTTCGCGGAGAACAAAAACGTCTTTCTGGTTGAAAAACAAGAAAGGGTGAAAATGTTCAACGCTTGATCCATTCTCTGAAGCTACAGCACCAGTGAAAATGGCTTGAAGAATTATTATCGAAAGCAACATAGCGATCATCTCGACGCGAAATGGCATCACATACAAGAAAACGAATGCATTACAACACAATATTCCTGCAGTTTTATCGGCCCATAGAAATCATAAATGACTTTGTTGCCCTGACTGACAAACTCTGCGATACAGCGCGATCCACTCACAGGATTTGCAGCAGACCAGAGGCGAAAACGAGCGGCACAAACATCACTGCATGGCACAATTTCTCGTAGGGGCTCGTCATGCGGACGAGAGACAATATGATCCCATTGTTTTAGTAAAATTCTGATTAAATTTCTTTCAAATTAACGATTTCCATTTATTTTTTTGTATATTTTAAGTAGTATTTAAAGGGAGGTTTTCACGGTTCAGCGCATGTCTCTAAATCAAAATACTTTTGCTCGCTTCTTATCAATGTTATCGCTTTAAAACCCCTCTCATGTGTAGTTCAGTAATCACATGCTATAGTTAGTCGAGGCAGAATAACGGATGACCAAAATTCTCAGAAGATTTCAGTCGATTTTACCGACGCTGTCGACCGTTGAATTTAGTCTTGACCAGTACAATTTATTCTACGGTTGATGATTTTACGGCTATTTGCATGCGAAATTAGGTAACTAGCGATTGGTTCATAAACAATGAATAAATATAATACAGACATGCGCCGAACCGTGAAACTCTCCTTTAACATAACGCTTTAGCAAAATCGTGCGCGGTTTGAATTGTTGTAATACTCATTAGCATAAATCTACCAGCGTTCTATCACGCTCAACGCTCAATGTTTTATCTTTTGTTGGCTACGTTACTCACAGTCTTACAATCTATTCTTTTGTAGATAGTGAGTAGCCAAGTATTCACCTAGAAGTAACCGGTTGTTGCCAAAAGGGCGGCCGCTTCATGCGAATAAACAGAACTTGAAATTTAAAGCAGCCGTGTAGCAGTTCTCGTAAGCTTGTAATTCTGTTTGTCGTTATTACAGCAGCTGTTGTTGTTTTGGGGCTAGCGGGCATTGTTTCTGTTGTTTGTTCTATTGTTCTCTCAAAGGGTTTCAAGCTATTCATGCGAGACCTTAGCTTACGAGAACTGCAAGATTCAATTTTGCTCAATTGGGAATGTTTCTGTTTTGAGTTACCCGCGGTGCTTTGTAGGCAACCATTATGATAGATAGTGAAAAAACGATTAAACAACTATTTAGATGTCCAATGGATATAACACATAAATATATAGCGAATGTATGAAAGGCACATATCACATAAATTACGTTGAGGCATAAAAGGAATTCAATGATTTCGTAAAGTGTTTAGACTGCACGGAAACTATTCCAAGACTAGAAATAGGGGAAAACATGATCTCCATTGCCAGGTTGTTATAAACAGAAAGATTATAGAAAGACAGAGGATAGCATGTTTTCCAAGTAGACTGTTAGACCATTTACAGGATTTCTGACTCAACAAAAACACGGTTCAAGGTATTTTAAGGTGTGTAAATAATGAAAAATTTTCATGTATTTTAAACTCTATTTCTTGGGTTGAAGTGAGGACGATACGTTCTGAACTTTGACTCTTTCATTGCCTAGTTCCTGTATGGCTCTTTCCCAGGCCTTCATTTCCAGTCCCAATCAGCTTCGTGTTTAACAACTGCTAACAAAAACAAGCAAAACCTGCCAAACACATTTCCAGTGTCTTCAACGTTCAAATGGAAACCGTCCTTGTTCGACCCCTTGTTCTTTTAACATTATTGATAACAAAAAGCAAAGATTAAGAGATACCATGTTTGAGTTTCAATTTTATTTTTGTTATTAACTTTGTCTTTACATTTAAAAGATGTAAAAACCTGTAACTTGCAGCGTTACCCGATGATAGAAGCTTTCTCTAGGCTCAAGATGAATATATTTTACCACTTGTAAGAACAGCTATTTTATTTAAACATAAAGTACACACTCATTTTGACCCTCTGCATTAAAACTCAAACTTTTTAACTCAGCAATATTATTAGATCGTTAAAACATGTTTCCTTTCAAAATGTGTATCAATAACTTTAACGTTTAACTGTTTAGATATAATTTTTACACTAACATTTAAGTTAATATTATTAATATTAATTCTTATAATAAGCTAATACTAACCTCTGTTGGATATTGTTTAGTTTCAACTATTATATTTTACATTTTTCTTCACTAAGTTAAATATTAAAATATCTCTTGGAATTTTCATATAAAAAGTAAGAAATGCAATGGTTGATTCTCAGTAAGGTCCGTCCACACTACTCCGGAGATATTTAAAAACGTAACAATCACCGGTCATTTTGGGTTTGTGTTTGACAAAAACCCTGGCGGGGAAATCATATGATTATCGTGAGGTCATCGCTTTCAAAAAACTCCGTTTTCAAAATGTTTTCTAAATACACGCGCACAAAAAACCGGCGTTTTCAGATTCCTCCGGTTTGAAGAGCGTACAGAAAATCTCCATTTTATTATTGTGGACGGTAAATAAAGCCCCTTTTTTAATTCCGCCGGCGTAGTGTGGCGGGGCGTAAATTTCTCTCTGTTAAGAAACTGATCAAAAGCATTTCTTTTAATTTTAGTTGTGAGAATTTGATGTTACATCAATAAAATATCCCGCAATTGATGATTATCATTATTTACATAACTTGTCTACTGAGGAGTGCGTTGAAGTTGTAAGGAGAGTTAGATTTTTATCAGTCTAGTCTTAGGAATGACAAAGTCAATCTTGCTTTAAATGCCACTGACCAATGAAAAAATGTTAAAAAATTAACATTTAAGTTCCCTTCCCTTCTCGTTAACACAAGTTTAAATAACCTTTTACTTTTTCACTCAAATAGGCCACTTAAGCTTCTGAGTAGCCTTTTGCCTCTGTGTCAAGGCAAGTAAGTCTTCGTGCGAAACCATTCATATCATAATGTTTTTATTTATTCAATTTCACCTAACTCTTAAAAAAATAAATAAAAAATAGTTAATGTGTTTCGATCATTCCCCTGCAGGTTTGTTTTCATATGAAAGGTTTTTCACAAGGACTGGTTTTGAAACAGAGGTACAAGGTAACTCAGAAATGGCCTTTTTTATTTCTCTTTTTGGTCGTTCTCTATTTTAATCTGTTCGATATCTTGGTCGGCACCGTTAATTTATTCACTTATAGAGGGAGACTTAGCCCGAAGAGAGGGAAGCGTTGTTTTTCTAAGCCTCTAAACTAGGATGACAGCTCTGTAACCGAATATCCAAACTTTCGCTCTTATTTGGCCGCTTGCTCTTGGTCACACGCTCTCACAAAAGCCCGCTGAACACAGGTTAAGCCGGCGCAATTCTCTCCAGAATTGACGAGAGTATTCGCCCAAGCACTGCATGTTTTGTTAACTCTGTGTGCACTCTCATCCTCCCTTGCCATGAGATTTAAGCGTTTTCTACGAATACCGTCTGAGAAAGGTTCGTTACTTGTTTGGGATAGGAGCCAGTCCTTTGGTGAGCAGGAGTTCTACAATTGTCCTGTAAGCAAAGAACAAAATTTCTCTTGGCTTTAGCTGACCGATCTGTGATAGCACATAAGCCATTTTTTAGTTGCTTAATTAACGGAAGAAAATAATCTTCAGTTCATTGTCGACTACTATGGGTTTAAATTCCGGGTTTGTCGGGCAGCGTCTGAATGCGAGATCGACTTTTTCGTATCAAGACTTGCAGATGTTAGCCAATTGGAGAAGCGATTGCACTCACGGGCGCAAACAAGATGTCAGATTGAAGGACTCTCATTTTGAAATTAGTTGAGTTACAGAAGGACATTTAGGGGATATCTCTTGTGGAATATCATCAGATATACGTCAGTTTTAGCCGGGTGACGCGTTTACACCAATTTTGCGCTAGAAGGAACACCGTTACTTGGATGCGTTTGTGTGTGCAGCCGAGCCAAGTAGCCCATCAGACCGGCGTCTATCTCCGGTTTCTGTAGCATGAAGTGACTACGAATATTTCTACTACCCCCTGGATGGGATGCTAGTCCATCGCAGGGTTAACCTCAGCACTAAATTCACCGGTACCCATTTATACACCTGGGTGGAAGAGAGGCACTGTGAGAGTAATGTGTCTTGCCCAAGAACACAACACAATATCCCCAGCCAGGGCTTGAACGCGGACCGCGCGATCCAGAGTCGAGCGCACTAACCATGAGGCCACCGTGCCTTCATATCGCTTGAGGAATATCATCGAATAAACCTCGCGCCAAACGACGCGTTTAGAGCAATCCCTGGCTGGAAAGAAAACTATCACATTGATACGTTTGTATACCGTTAGCTTACTGGCTTACTCTTATGATTTCAACTGTAGTAGTCCAACAAATAAGATGGCTTATTTACTGTGTGAGCAGCAAAAAAAGTTTATTTGACATATATATGTTTACCTGACGCCATAAACAATCAGAACAAAGGCGATAAAAATGGCAGCAGAAGCGTCCAAGAACCAAATGTTGGGATTCTGATCGTAAATGAGGTCACTCATAGCCATAACAAACGCCATCACCGCTTCTGCTGTCGAGTTGAAGGCTAAGAGGAAAAAATGGAACATATTAAATTGCTTAGTGATAGCGTAATCTGATGCTTGTATCTTAAGTTAAAGAAGTAATCTATACTTAGAGCAGTGTTTGTATGTCTCTGCATTTGTAAAGACATGAATGTCCATCGCAATTATTATATATGTATGCATTTTTGAAAATATTTCCTGAAAAAAATTCAGGCTTGAACGGAATTCGAACCCTTTTCATGTCTTCTTAAGTTGTGTACATAACTGCAATGATCATTTACGTCTTTACATCTTTCTCTGCAATGCACATGTAAGATATTTCTTATTTTTTATGTATACTTGTATAACATTTTGGTGCAATGAGGCCCTTTTGGAATATTTATTTTTCTCGCTCTCTCGATAATCTTAAAAGGAAATAAAAGGCCTGCGAACCCACTATGTTGGAAGACCTTGGAATTGAAACTGATATTTTGTTTTAATACCAATTGCTTTGAAGCTCCATTATATTTTGATCATATCGCAGACCATTGTTGTTAACAACCTTACCGTCTGTTCTTAGAGCCCTGCTGTCCACTTTGTAGGCAATAAGGTATTTGAACCACGCTAGCAGTACCATACAACCAAAAGTAGCAAATGTGGTGATCAACAAAGCTGTACTCTGAAATATGATGAAATTTTATAGTTATTTGACTTCGTTTTCAACATTTTAGTGGTCCATGAAATATCAAACAGGAGAGACAGTGTCACATCCCATTTCCAAAAACTGAGAATAGAGATGAATATATGACGTGCAGCGAAGTATTTTGGGGAAATTCGAGGTGTTCCACAATGTGACGAAACACTGCCGCTCGTATTTGATATATGTTTTCAATGGAAACTTGGCCTAAGGAAAAAACGAAGGAATTAAATCGTAATTTGTTTTAGTTCACTGAATTATTTTGATGATTTTGACAAAGAATGATTTCATCTGCCAAGACCAATCATATATCAAGATTTTCAAGGCAAATGACACAATAAAACGTTAACTGATCAACCAGCCAGAAACGGTTTTATCCAAATACAGCCCAAAGAAAGACGTGATATCCAGTGTTCACAGCAACAAGTGAAACATGTTTAAAAGTAGTTTAACTAAACAAGGTGGAAAATTGGTTGCTCCTACTGTACACAGCTTACAACTCAGCTAGGTTAAAACCGGTTTGAATAAAATATGTTGGCAAGGTGGTGTGAAATTTGTCTTCTCAAAATGACATACAATGCAAAGCGTAATCGACAAATTGGAATTTAGTTAAACTATTTTAGTTGCTGTGAATGCGGCATTTAAAGAAAACCAACCTAACAAGGTTGATGCCAGTAGAACAGGACCTAAGATTGCTTAAGTGAACCATTTCTTACCCTTTTTGGTTCGTTGTCAATGACCAGCATATAGACAGCTTTTGATACAATAGCGCTACCAGACAGGACAAAACATACACCAATAATGATGCAAGCCCTACAAAAACAAACAAACAAAATGATCAACAACAAATTAAAATCAGTGACCGACACCTGTGAAGTTCATTTACTATCTACAGCGTTTGCACTCACGTGGCCAGCAGCCATGAAAATTTATTGGAACAAAAAGAAGTGTTTACATAAGAAAAGAGTTCAACTCCCACAGGATTGGTTTGGCACAGTAACATGGCCGCCGTTTCATTGTGTTGGAACACCAATATGACTGCCGTGAAGTCAGGTGAAAACGTTCCCTTGATTCTACACTTATTAGGCAAAACGTCTACATGCTTTCTAATTTACTAATTAATTCAAGCAAGAAACTTTGTAATCAAAATAGAAAAGATTATAATTAAGAAACAGCCTCTTACTTTCTTTCTCTTTCGAATGAATATTTTTGTCCTGCTATGCCCGAGAATCTCCACACCACAACAGCTGAGGAGCAAGCGTCTAATATTGCTGCAAACTGCAAAAGATAATTTGGAAATTGGATATGTGAATAAATGAAAGAATGGAGGAGGAGGGAAGTGGGAGACAAATGAAGAAGAAAAAAAACAAAAGAACGAACCAAAGAAATAACAAAATACGATCATGATCGAATGAAGAAACGAAAGAAAAGAAAGAAGGTATCGGTGAACGAGGGATAGAATGGAAGAATGAGCGATGGTACGAACGAAATTAAATAAGAACAATTGAACCCACGAACGAACGAACGAATGATAAAAAGAACAACTGGATGAGTGAATGGAATAACGACTGAGCAGCGAGAGCGCGAATCACGAATGAATCGAAGCAATAATTTTTTTTTTCAGGATTTCACAAAAATGTATGAGACGAAATAATTGACATGATTTCCGTTGGAGTGGACGATTTACGTTTTTAATTTAATCTTCTACATGCTTTTAATTTTCCAATGTGCTTTTAATCTTCCGGTACATATTAAGCTTAATTTTCAGGTCTTAGTTTTAATCACTGCAACTATACATTTTATCATTATTTGCAAAAAATTCTCTCAATATTTCATACTTAGCATATCAAAGATAGCAAGAACCTTACTCGAGATTTTCAAACCTACAAAAGAAATCCTGACTGCTGGAATGCTGGAAATCCACGACAAAACGTATGAGACCATGCAAATCTTTGTTGTATTTCTATTCGAAAACGTGATTTTAATATTATTTTCCAATATGCTTTTAATTTTCCTGCACATTCTTAATTTTCAAGTGCAGCCTTATTCCGTGCAGCTGCACATTGCTGTTTGTCCCAAACATTTCATGATATTTTGCATATAAAAATATCATGAAGTTTTCTGGAGAAAAGTTTTAATCCGTTCCTCATATTAGAAACTTCGCAGTTTTTTCTTATTGAATAATAAAACAAGGACAGATTGACTGACAAATGTAGCTAACTCTTTTAAACGGCGTTGGTCCTTGGTTGTATAAACCAGAAATTATTAAACGGGTAGAAATAATTAAGAGGCAGAATGTGTTGGAGGTATTGGGAGCATACCATTTGTCAGAATAAACCGGTTGGAATGGCTCTTGAACAATGGTAAGGGTTTTTCCAAAATTGACAAACCAACCGAGCGAGATGGCGCTTACCATTACAAATTGTCTTCGGCTAATGAGAGACTGGAAACTAGAACATTAAGCAACTGTAAGGAAATTTCCGCCATTCCGTTCTGAACGGATCAAGACTACCTCTGGAGCTAGTCTATAATTTTCGAACGGATTTTCCGGAAAATTAATTACTGTTCCATTTGCCTTTCAACGGAAACGTTTGGAGGTTTTGGAAGCCATTGTTTCAAAACGAAGAAGGAACTTAATTTCCCCTTGGGGGCAAAGTATAAATGAAAATTACACACTTTCATTTTTCCAAAAAAATATAGAACAGCATCAGTGCAAGAACTCCCGAAAAGTCGCCTGTAGAATTCACACAAAACTTTAAGAAACTCATAAGTTATTTTCAGAGAAAAACCCATTGTTGAAGCGTGAAATAAAATGAAAAATCTTATGTTGCTTTTGTATATATTACAAGAAAGGACGATCTATGATCTCTTGTTGTTACCAAAAATAATTATATTGCAGCACATTTTCATTTTTTATGGCGAAAAAATGTATCTTTCGTTCAGATTAATTCTATAGAGAACAGGAAGCCGAATGTCTTGAGCGTTTGTCTTTAAAAATGTGTAAAAGTGGTCCAGTGAGTTTTCGCCTTCAACGGCCACAAGAGTGAAAGACGATTAAAGAAATTCAATTCTGACATTGGTAATGGCTAGAAAAAGTATTGGGTGAAAAATATTAAGATGTGCTTCAATTTGTTCTTATTTTGCACTGCTTACGGGATTAAATTAGAAATTTAGCAAATTAAAGCTTACCGCAAAACCAAAAGCTGCTGGGCTCCCGTCAAGGGCGGAGAAAACTAAATTGACAGAAAATAACGTTAATTTAATACTGTCTATTCATTCCGAACAAGCGCTTGCACACAGTTTTGGCTCTTTTAGATCATAAATTGCGCTTGTTGAGAACTGAACACAAATCGCAACAATGCTCAGTTCAGCTGATAGATTACAACGCTGAAATAATCGAATCCTCTATCCTACGAATCTTGTAGTATACCGTAAAATTCCGATAACAAGCCCACAAAAACTAAAACAAATAAAACGCTAAGACAATAAACTCCCCCGCACTCCCTAACCCCTCGCTATCCTCCACCCCCTCTTCCCCCCGCCAGAAAATGCGTCCATAGGCTTATATTTAGATTCAGTTCTTACTTGACATAATTTCTACTCATTATGACTGAAGCTACCTATTGAACACGAGCTTTCTTCGTTCTCTATGTCGTTACGGCATTGTCACCGACATTTAAGGAGGCTCAAAATAGTTTTCAGGACTTTCGAATTCCACCTTACATTTTTGAAAATTTAGGGTGGTCCTGAAGCCCGGTACAGACTTTTTCAAACGCCTTTCCCAAAAGTTGCATCTTATCCCTCTTATCAAAATTCCATAATAAAAAAGGATTATTTACGGTGCCGTTTTTGCAATAAGAGTTCTTAAAGCTACAATTAAGGGTGTTTTAGCAGGTCATACAGTTCCTATGATAACCTATTCATTTTTTGAGACCATGATTGTAGCATGAACTGATAAAGAGTAGTAATAGCGACCCATCAAAATGTACGTCTTGGAAAGTGCTGGAAACTGTTTTGAGCCATCTTAATGTTCATTTATAATTAAAAACCATAGAACTTTACTTATTCACAATTGTATCTGTTATATGTTTACGATTTGGAAGCTTTTCAAAACGGAATGTTACATTAAGTCTCTTCAAAATACAGCCCAAGCAAATTCTTTAGAATAATACTCTCCACTCCCACTTTCCAAAACAAGCCAGAATATATCTTTTGAACTAAAACAACTTCAGGGTGGGATTTTGACGTTCGGTATACAGATGACGTATGTCCCGCGATATAACGTAACGTGTAACGAATCTCCCGATAACAATGTTGAGTGAGAAGAAGAGAATAGTTCGATTTATCGCTGTCGAGCCACGTTTATAATAATGAACAAGGCCTTAATTAACCATCCAAAACAGAAAATATAAATATTGAAAGGTTCTTAGACAAATTTTTGGAATGACAAAAATGACAAAAAGCTGAAAAACACACTAACGTGATCATACTAACTCAAATTCAGGCTGGGTGTTTTCCTTCCATTTCAGAATAGTCTTCAAATGTGGGGCGAAATATAATCAAAATGATATTTTCTCTCAGATGCCTCTCTGAGCACCCGATGTGTCAAATTATTAGTGTAAAATTTAATTTTCTAGAATATGCGGACTGTGCAAGCTGACATCGACGAAGTAATATAGTCGGTATTTCGAGCCAAGATTGTACTATTTCAAAATGGCGGGAAAACCATGCACAAGAACTGTATCTTTCTTTTATATGAAATTATCTTCCTCTGTTAGTTCTGTGTATTAGATTTTTCTTCCTTCAGTTGAGCGAACAGGCCGAATATAATCCGATGATCTTTTTTAAAAAGTTTCAATAAAGCAAACGTTTGATGCGGCAGACATTTTGATTATCAATTCACCAAACATTCTCAAATGAATCCCCACTAAATATACCAGCTAGTTATAAATGCGATTCATTTAATTGCGCTAAAAGACATGAAGTGAAAAATTAATAACATGGGCGATTTGCAAGCATAATAAAAATACAAATACCCACCAAAATATAGACTTCCTAGGATCAAAGTTATCGCTATTGATACGTAGGACACCAGTAAGGCTGCCCTCAGCCAGGCTCCAGAAATGTCGGTGTTAACTTTATCCAGTTCACGGAACATCCCATCTGCAAAGATACAAACATGATCAGTTATTCTTTTGTGCAAATACTCACGCGGGGCAGTCTATGCACATCACGGACATGAGCAAAACTGTAAAAGTATTATCGAAAAAATCCTAAAAAGATAATAATCTTGCGATGAACGCTCGATAGCAAAAGTTTCAAGCAGGCTTGGCGGGTTTCTAAATAGCAGGGCGTCTTTCAAAACCCAACAAGATGCTGTCTGCAGTCTGTTCGACAGAAGTCAAATTTTAAAGTTACAAGATTAAAAATAAACACGCAATGTTTGCATCCATCTACCGACCTTGCTCGGCACAGCGATTAGCTCTCCTCTGTCGCTCCAAATCAAAAAGCCGAGATACATTGTGAAATTGAATGTCGCACTCCTCGTCAAGCGCCGTGTTGCTTTGAAGCATGCTCAACGATGTTTGTTATTTTTCAATTCCCAAGCGTGACTACACCGCTAGCTTCAAACCGCTTTCAAGCACCGAACGCATTTTAGTTTCTTCGTTTAAATGGACGAGGCTATATCTGACAGATCCATAAACATGATTATGGTGAGTTGTACTCATAACGTTTTCCAATTCCCGATTATTTTTTAAAAAACAGACTGTCCTTTCAACCCGTGGTTTTAAGTTTCAATCCAAACAGGTGGAAACACACGAATTAAAACGTGGACCATCATCAATAAATGATAAATTCTCTAATAAATTCCCTAATTTCGCGGGAGCCACACGGAGCTTTTTCATACATTTATTCGCATTAATTCAAAACTATGTTTTTGTTTTGGGAAGTCCGTTTAATTACGCGCGATTCTCCCCTTTGAAATGCAAATTTTAGCAGGGATAACAATGCTGTAGGCTAATGTATTTGGATATTCAAGCCCTTTAGGCAGCTTCGTCCATTAGCACTATTGCTTCTGCTAATAGCATTCTAAATACAATGGACAGAGGAGTGCAGATGCCATTTAGATCATTTCAGGGACGGAAAGCTATCTAAGTTGTTTGTTTGTTATATTGTCCTTTATATCTCGATAAACGCTGGGGTCAGAAGAAACAAAATTATAACAAATAATAGACAAAATTGCCTCATAGTTGCCAGGACGTCGACAGCTACCGCCTAAAAGGCGGTTTTTTGTTGGGAATCAATAATAGAAACATTCGGTGCTTTAAATTCAACATTGCAGTCTACATCAAACAATCTTTATGCCTCAAACTTCAAGAAAAGTAAATTGAATTTCTACCACACTCTGTGATAACACATCGTGTAGGTCTAAAAGCCTGGCCAATATAGGATATTTATTCAAATCAGGCAATACTCCCCATGAAGACCTGATGTGCAGGCAATATTGCCAAATGTCATGCACGTGCTGCGATTTATGGAAAGGGTCTGTCTGATTGTATCAAGCCGATAAAAGCTTTACGTAACTTAAAAACGTTTTCATATTTTGCCTGCTTTGAACATTCGTCACCGTAGAAACGTAAAAAGACGTAAAAAAGAAAAAAATACGTTAAACCTGGTGGTACTAAAGATAATTGCAAATTGTTCTTTTTTTTAATATATATCAGCATTTGAATTTTATTTCAATTATCACTCAAGAATTGAGCTCAGGTTAAAAGAAACTTGGGGAATAAAAATGAAACTTTTAATTTCAGTAAATGCAAGTAAATTAAACACCGTCTTCGTAATAATTTTCTAAGCGGAAAGCTTTTCCCTCAAGGCTGGTTTTCACAGGCGCATAGGCATAAGCACAAGTATAGCAAGTGAACACATCAGAGCATAAGCTTAACGATTACGCAAGCGCAGAATAATCGGGATTTCCTTACTCGAGGTTATCGCGTGGCTTGGGGACGAGAATGATTACCAGCCCTCCTCAATTGTTAAACAATATGGCGGAGTTCGCCATGTTGTTTTGCGATATTTTAGCAGAAGTCGGTGGGTGTCAAAGTAAATTACGATTAGTAAATTAATATGCTTGTTACACGCGTCCCTTCTGCCACAACAATCTGGCGGATGATCTTGGATTTTATTGATAGCTTATTTTTCGGATGAAATTAAGAAGGGAAATTTGTATCCGATTCGGCAACACGATCCAGTACTTACCAACCTTGTTTCTCCAAACACATTTTAGCTTCCCAGGGGATAACTAACAGCCGTAGCAGACAAAAATCATTTAAACCAATTTCTATGTCTTGCTAATGGTGTTCAGAGTTTAATTAGTATCTTCTTCATCATGAAAACGGAAGATACATGAGAGAACTCTTATGGAAATAACCTTTTATCTCTCCTAAAGGAAGTTAGACGGTATAATCTCAAAAAGCGCTACTTTTCAGAATAATGCGTTTCTCAGCTAAAGCAGTTTAATCATAACAAGAAAAATAATATCACCAGTTCGTGGAGATATCAACCACCAACTGTGCCAACAACATATTTCCTGTGATATCTAGTTGCCTTAACAACACTGCTAGAGACGAAATAGCGAATAAATATTGAACAGAGAGCGAAAACATAGACAATACTTAAATTCTACGTTTACTGTTTCAGTATTTTTCCCTTGTCTTCGATTTTTTAACGCTTTTTACTGGCACTATTGTTTTCTTTGATAAGAAAACAGTAATTTTTCATCAGGACATTCGAGTGAACAAAAAAGATTTTACAGTTGTAAAGTGTTTTTTAAATGATGGATAAACGAGCGATCTTAACGGGTGGGGAGAGTAATTGCATATTTTTGCCACCAGAAAGCGTAATAAAATGCGAAAATTAAATAGCAAAAACCGAATAATAAAAACTATTCAAAACAACTGCCCTCATGACAGACCCTTCCAGTCGTTCTGGAAATTTTAAAAGCTGTAGAATAACGCACCAACATTATTTATTTTTTCAATGGCAGTTTTGCTATTCCTCCACTCGTTTCCCTTTAATCTATACATTTTATTTTTCTTCAGATCCAAAAGGTATTTAATCTGACGGTTAAAGTGTGCTTTTGTGACGGCTATCTTCAGTTTTAAATGACCTTGGGCTGTCAGTTGTTGGAAATCAGTGTATTCCGTCCACAGTGACTCGCAAATCGCGGAGTACGACGAATCAAGTGAATCATACTGAGGACATCATTACTCCCAGATTTGGCCAAATAATAAATTTTGCATTTATTCGCTTTTTGAAAAAAACAAACAATGAATTGTACTCGACGTAGAGACAAGTAAATTAGTTATGTTCAATCTTCATTGCAGCCTTTTTGGTCTTACCCCTTAGATTAATCATGCTTTCAAACGTTATCAGGTATTTAAAATGTTGTCTAAAAGACGAATCCCTTTTACTTGATGGATCTCGGTTGAAAGATGTTCTATGGAAAGAGAAATCAAACTGTTTTTTTTTGTTGTTGTTGAGATCTTCATTTTAAAATTTTTTGCGATTCCAAGCGCGCAACGGTTTAACTCAGAAAACGCGATCCCTTCGTAGTGGAAAACTTGAATTTCCAAGATTCAGTGATTTCTGTAAGGTCGCTTGCTTCAGTCATACTTGATCTGGAATTTCGGCTTAATTTCCGTTTACAACGACCACAAAAAGATCAACCTTGGTTTGAGTTTTGAATAATGATTCAATAAAACATAAACGAACTAACGCTCAACTGACTTCGTTTGACAATCAGTCATTACAGATTTGTACCACAAGAATACAATCACAGTTCGTAGAGAGTCGTTCAACCTCAAAAGGAACTAGTGATCCACATCTAAACACAACGGCGGCATCAAAAAAAACATTAATCATTTACAATGCTCTCTAAAAGAGCACATTTTAAAAATTTTGTAATATACCTGCGTTGAAAGAACCGTACTCACCAATTTAGCCTCGAAGGCGCAGTCGAGTTCTCAGTGCTCTTTATCTGTTATGCAATATAGTAGGAAATCTATATATCTGCCTGCTAGGGAGCTGTTGTCATCTTTACTATTGACTGAGATGACTCAACAAACAGTGACATCTGTACATATAAAAGATTCAGATCTCCAGTGTCAAATGAATATTAATTTTGTTAATTACTGTTACACAAAATAACATTGTGTGTTTATTTGATGTTATCATTGGTGAATTTCTTTTTCCCACAGAGGTATATAACTCATTTAGAAGTTTCGAGAATTAACGTCACAGTTAGAGTGAATGGATAAAAAATATTAACTTCTTTTCATTCAAGAAGGCGAAAACAAGTAATTTATGATTATAAACCGCTTACAAGGTGTTTTTGAACAACCTTGGTCGCAATTCAAGCCTGTTATAAAATCTTTCACGTGCCGAATGAGTTGGATTTGCATGAAAATGAACATGCAATGAAACTATAAAAAAAACAGAATTAATTTACACCAACCATATTGACATCAACTTTTCATTTGAGAATGAAAAAGAGGTAATTTTCAGGCCATTTCCAACCTCTGTCTCTATCCAAGCCTGGTGCAAAATCTTTCATGTGAGAATGCGCTTAATTTGCTTGAAAATAAATATGGAAAAAGACCAATTACAAGTTTCAATTTACACCAGGCCCAAGTTAACATAAGCAAAATGCAATTCATAAATGCCCATTAAATTGACCTTCCATGTAGACAGTTCCTGATAAGAAGAAATCTGAAGCTCGAAATGTAGCTCAGTTGTTACGATAGTTTTCACTTGAACGTCGAAAGTAGTTCATATTTGCTACTTCGCTAGCGATTGGCTAAGCCAATCAATCACAAGTATCACGATAACCAAAACCAGTCGTGACTCGCGCGTTCGCTCACGTTTTCCCGCGCTTCGCGTCAGCTACAGGTATTTGCTTCAAGTTTTGATTGGTTCATTAGATTGTCTATGTCCCCTGTGATTGGCCAGAATGATTACTTTAGTTTTGGTTTTATTGAGACACTCAATGCAAAACCGCTTCAGTAATAAATTCTCAAGTCCGAACAAAAGTCAAAGTCATTACGCCTGGCAAAGACACCTGGCCAACGGGCGCGTCTGACTTCGTCGACTTTGAGTAACACAGCAAGTTATTAATTAGAAATCGAAGCAAAAGACATGCGGCCCGCGCGCTGCCCATAAGGCAAGTCACGTGTGGTGTTGGTTCTGCCCCTGATTGGTTGAAAACCAGTCTTTTTCCCGTGATTGGCTGGTTATAGAACGTTTTAACATGACGTCACGGCAACCATATTGGTGTTCCGAAGAAAAATATACACGGCGG